TTGAGGAGAGGATAGAAGTGTCCTCGAGCTGTATGCGGTGTTCCATGTTGAAGCGATGTTCAGCGATCGCTGATTTTTCAGGCTGCCCGAACCGGATGTGGCGCTCGTGCTCCCAGGATCAGGCCTGTCTGGCCGATGTAGACTTTACCGCACTCACAGGGAACGCTGTATATGCCAGGCATCTTCAGTCCTAGGTCGTCCTTTACCCGCCGGAGAAAACTGGGAATTTTCTTTGGCGGAAGACCAACAGACTTGATGTTGTGCCTGGCCAGCAGCCTGCTTATGCGGTTGAAGGTAGTCCAGACGTAGGGCAGGAAGGCAACCGAGGTTGGTTTTTCAGGAGGCGGTGACAGCCTCGCAGGCGGATTGAGAGCTCTCTGGATCTGTCGGTTGCTGTATCCGTTTTTCTTGAAGATGGTGGTGAGTGTCTCCAGTTCAACCTGTAGGCTCTCGTGGTCGCAAAGGGCCTTAGCCCTGTGTACCAGGGTCGAAAGCCTGTTTGTTGGACGGGTGGTGATGGGAATTGGAATTGAGGTAAAAGTCGGTATGGGTTGATTTTCGGTAAACCTTGTGGACTAATGAGCCATCAGGTTTCCGGTGGATATCTATGTCGAGGAATGGGAGATGGCCGTTCTTTTCTGTCTCCATGGTGAACTGGATACTCTCGTGAATACTGTTGAGGTGGTTGAGGAACTCCGCGAGCTTGCCAGGGCCGAGGGGCCAGATAACAAACATGTCGTCCACGTAACGGAACCAACAGAGGGGCTTGAAGGTCGCCCCGTCCATTTCTTCAAAATGCTCCATGAAAAAATTGGCGATGACAGGTGATAGTGGGGAACCCATAGCCACACCGTCGGTCTGTTCGTAGAACTGGCCGCCGAACTTGAAGTAGGATGATGTTAGTACAAGATGGAACAGCCTCAAGACGTCTCCATCGAAGTGCCGTTCCAGGAGACGTAGACCAACGGGTACCATGATGTAGAGAGACACGACATCGAAACTGACCATGATGTCCCCAGGACCCACACGGAGCGACTTGATGGTATTGATGAATTCGGTGGAGTTCTTCATGTGACGTGGAGAGTGCCCCACCAATACACCGAGTAGTCCCGCGAGATATTGGGCGAGCCGGTAGGTTGGAGCGCCGATGGTGCTTACGATGGGCCTGAGAGGAGCTCCTACCTTGTGGATCTTAGGTAGCCCATACAGTCTAGGGGGCCTCGAACCCTGGGGCCGTAGCTGTTGGATGACCTCCTCTGGAAATGATGACTTCTTGAGAAGTAGGGTGGTCTTCCTTTCAACGGCTTCTGTAGGGTCCTTGGGCAGTAACCTGTACGTCGGGGCTTCCAGAAGGGCTCGGATCTTCCCGTTGTAATCGTCAGTGCTAAGGACAACTGTCGCGCTGCCCTAGTCAGTCGGGTGGAACGAGAGGGCTCAGAGAGCTCTCCTCTCCGGACAGATTGTCTTTTGGCTTCTTGGAGGCTCTCAGGATCCGAACGGTCTCTTGCCGGACCTCCGCGGCCGCTTCCACAGGTAGGGAGCGAACAGCTCTCTCAACACCGCTCAGGAAATCCTCGATGGACACTGCATAGTTTAGGCCCTTGCCCAGGGCTGAGTAGGCAGCATCCTCCAGTGGCCTGCCGCTCAGGTTAACTACAGTTTTCTTGGTGTCGGTCCGCGGGCCTGCATGTTGAGCTCCATGCAGTCGTTGTAACTTGATGCACTGCCTGACTTTGTCGTCAGCTGCAACACGTGAAGCCCTCTTAAAGGTGATGCGGTCGATGAGGGCCCAGTCCGCGGTGGACAGCTCTGCAGCGAGGCGGAGGTGCATGTCCAACAGGTCCCGGGAGATCGCATCCAACTCGCGCCGCGTGTGGTGTATACGCTCCCGTAGTAGGCAGAAGCTCGTCCTCCGATAGATTCTCTTGGCGGCCTCGGAATGGATATGGTGATGAAATTGCAGGAAATGCGGGACCGTCCCTTGGTCCCTGCATCGTAGTAGGAAGTAGAGGGAGCAGAGACGTTTGGCTTTCTTGAACTAAAAAAAGTTGCTTCACAATCAGATAGAACCACCTGTGGCTGTCCGTATATCAAAACAACGTTTTCTGCAAATGCCTTGGCTACTTCCTCTGCTGTCTGTTCTTTTAGGGGTACAGCTATTAAAAATTTTGACAGGTCATCTTGCACGGTCAAGATGTATCTATTTCCTTCGTTGCTTGGACTAATGGGGCCTACTATATCTACTATGTATTTTTCAAAAACTACGGAAGGGCATTCTGGCGTGACATTGTGTCAGTTTGTTATTCTGGCACTTTTCTTGATGAAGGCTTCTACATCCTCCTTCATCTTAATGTGGCCCCTCTCTCCACACGCGTGGCAAATAATCCTCGTGTCTGTAGCTCTCGCAACTACATGCATATTAGTTCCCGTACCCTTGCGTACGTCTACACCGATCCCGCGTCCAGGACGTGTTAATCCTCTATTAACATCTCGGTCTGCAAATCCGAACTCTCTACCGGATCCTTTAATCATATTCCCATGATTTCCTGTTGCTCTATTGGCTATCTCGGGCCCTCGTTTAAACTTTGGCGACGTGAAACCTCTTTCTTTAACAGACAAGATTGCTGACTCTTCCTCTAGTGCTGCATCTATGCACACTGATGGTACCACCGATTCGCCCTTTGCTCTGACGATCGTTTGAATTCTCTCGTTAGCTAACCCTTGCAGAAAGCAAGCCTTGGCCAAATGGTTGAGAAGTATAGTAATAGTGAACAGCCACCATATTTGATCAGCATGAGCCGATCAGATTCTGAAGAAATGGTAGGAAGCAGTGGCGAACTGTACTGTAGCATTTCGGAGGCGATAGGAAGAAATTGAAGGAATTCATTGATAACGTAACCACTGCCTTCGAACTCGTTAGACCGGGACAACATAGTTTCCTGTTAAAGTTTCTGCCGATAACGTTATGACAAATTCTTGCAACATCGTAACGTACCGGTCACTGTTCACTGTGTGATGGAAGAATGTCTACATGACATGGCACACCAGACACCAAGTTTCTGTGAGTGCAGAGGCGACTCATGCAGCTCATGTGGGTTTTTCGCGGCCCATAGTCGAGAATTCTGAGCATTGACGTACCCATCGAGATGGAACCACGCCTCGTCAGACCAATACCAATCATCGTGTTCCTCCCCATCCGGCGTTACAGATTCCATGAACACCACACACACCTCACTTTTCAGAAGGTCTTCATGCTTTAGTGCAAGTAAAAAAAAACACCTTATGGGCCATCCACGTCTTTCAACACACTTAACAGCGTAATAATAAATTTGAATCACATTGTTGACTTTTATATCAATGCTGCATTTATCACTCATTCCATTGCTGCTATTGTTACTTTTGATGTGTCATAAAGAACAACTTTGAAATGTTTGTATACTCTAAAGAGTAGACCCTTTCAATATTTTGTTGAAAAAAGTATGTTATGTTCGATAATTTTATTGTATTTTGATTATTTCTTTTATATCATTAAGATTTTCAGAAGTCAACATATTACTTTTGTTACAGCCCATCATAAAGAAGGCTATTTAATATCAATAACAGACAAACTTAAATGCATGACCTGTCTTAAAGGAACATTTTATGTAACACTAAGTTTTCTCTAAGTAGATTTACAGTAAGAAAACAATTAAACAAGATCTTTGACTTCATATCAATACCAGTAGCCCTCTTTTTGCGCCGATTTTGAAACCAGCAAGTCAAAAAGTGAAAAAAATATATTTTACTATTATTTATAACGTTTTACAATGTTTCTCGTACTGCTTCTTATACTAAATCATAATTGTTACATCGCTGATTTTTAATAAAAATTATAAATACAGTCATCTCTGCAATTACGTGTGTTTCATTAACACGAATTTGCTCCAATGAGTTCGATGAATCGGTAAAAGATGTTTTGAAATGCAAACTTTTGCATATGCGAGTTTGCTCTTATGCAATTTCATTCCTGACGCTTTAAACTTTCAAAAGACTAATTTAATCTCTGCGGAGGTACCGGGGTTATTTTTACTACGTGATTTTCTATAGGTCGGCGTCTTTCATGAATGCAACTATCGCAGAACAGCAGAGATGACTGTACACATCAATCACATGAAAGAATCACAGTGACCAACGAATCGCCGATTGTAAGAGTATAAAATATATTTTTTAAATTCACTTTATTTTATTTGTGTTATTTCTGATCTTTAAATGTAATGCCATTATATTACTCGTCAACGTTTCAGTGCTGGGAACGCATGTCATTGACTTCCCATAGATTTACATTATAAAAGAGTTTCAATTTACGCCGATTCCGTTTACGCCGCTTCGTCCAGGAACGCGTCCCTGGCGTAAATCAAGGGCTACCTGTACTGCATAGTATTCTGAGGAAATAAGAACCTTAAATTGGTCTTTTGTAATGTTCTGTGTCGACATATCCTGGAGGTAGTACCAATTCGGTATAGCTAGTGGTTTGTCGAAATCCTTGCGGAGGGACGCTCCCCCTTACTATAGTTACTGGTTGAACTGCTGGATAAGGGGGATCCAGAGGACCTGCAAAATCCTCCACATGTAAATCAGAGCTGAAACAAAATTAGAAGTTTCATTCATATTACATTGAAGTAAAAAATGGCAGATAAGAAGAGCACACAAAACGTTTTTCAGTTATCCTGAAGAGAAGAGACAACTTGGAGGAGCTAGAAAATGTAGGGGGATAATATTAAAACGGTTCTTAAACACGAAGAATGGGAAGATGTAGACTGAGAAGACGGCTGTCTTGGCATTGTTATGCCATGTCTAATACGTCAGTAATCTTCTACCAGACTATGTGGCATAAGAACCCAGAAGACAGCCATCTTTATACTTGCTGCCATGAAAACCTCAAATTTCACTGAATTTATCTCAAATAATGGCTAATGAAAGGCTTTTGTGAACACAGTAATGAACATTCATGTTCTGTAACAGTTATGGAATTTCTTGACCAGCTAAGAATATTATTCATTGCTCAAGGACTCTGAACAGTGCAAAATGTATGTGCAATAAAAAAATTGTATTTACAATGAAAAAAATTTCATACAAAATTTCAAAGGATACATGTGAAAATAAGAACGCCATATTCCATTAAAATACATATTTCCATTCTTGTAAGAATGTCTACGGATCCCACTGATACAAACTCTCTTCAAGTAGCTGATGTGGGCAATGGACGTAATTCACGAAAGAAACGTGATTAAAACGTAAATTCTGTACTCACTATACCGATTATCAAATTGCTACATGTAACAAGTGGTATCTGAATTTACTTCATCACTCACTTGCTAATGATTGCAGTATCTTGCACTGGAGTGGGATGCTCCTTTGTGTAGTTAATTTTCGGTTGAATGATGCCTCCTGGTCCACTTATAGTGCTAATTACTGTGACTGTTGCTGGAGATGAAATATTTCTGATACGAATGAGATTATGTTGTTTATGCTTACAGGAAGCGATGACGTACGAAAACGCCAATATAAGAACAAGTAAAAAAAAAAATATTACTCCAAACCTGAAAAAAAGAAAACACTTATGTCAGTTTTGTGGGAAGAAAACATATTTTGCTCAGAATGCACTTAGTCCATTCATCATATTTCTGTGTTACCAGCAAGGACCTCTGAAACGTCACTGAACTTCTACCAGACTACATGGCACAACAACCCAGAAGACAGCCAGCTTCACTAGGCATGATGATAAAAACTGCACAGCATTTGAACTGATTACAAGAATGTGCACACATTACTCATTATACAACATTATATCAATTATTACAAAATTAACAATGAATTTATGCTTTTATTATATATGTTCTGTTTTTATTCTGAAATGTTTATACCAAGATTTAACAGATGGTTACCAAAACACCTATGACGCAGTTCAAATCAACTGCACAGAACTTACCTGAACATATACCTGATAATGTCCGTTGAAAACCTAAGTTTTTCTTTTAGCATATGTTACGAAACGTACTTACCAAAAACACCAGGTCTCCCAAAGTTCTTTATGGTATCTATTGATGATACAACAATGTAAATTACAACAATACACGTACTCTGGGGGGCATCTGTGAACAGCCAACAATAAATATCCTAAGTGAGATATCAGACAATCACAACAGCGAGTATGAAATTAATGTCTTCTGAGATGTTGAGCCATATTGTTTGGTAGACGTTTACCAACATTTCAAAGGCGCTTGGTGCCTCCACCATCAGGGCAATGATGGACGCAACAAGCACCTCTGAAGCATCGGTAAACCTCTACCAGACTACACGGTGCACCATCCCAGAAGACAGTCATCTTCATCTTCAATATCATATGTGCTATTATTTCATCCGCAGTAGGAAATGATTCTACGCCAATGCACAGGAGTGCTTGTAACTACTAACTTGTACGCTTTCAATTGTCGTGTTTAACTTTTTCTAGCACAGACTAAAACAAATGTTTAGACAGCTGTAACATGGGATAAACTGAGAGCACAATTCCTCAAATGCCTAACTGGATATGACACAATACACAGTGGAAAAAAAAGAAAACTTTCTTTTCCACTGGTTTCTTCACTCAGGATTAGGTCTGAAGCCCATATAATTAGCAAGTTGGTATAACAGTTTTAATATGAACAAAACAGTCAATGAATATAAAACCCTGGAAAATATATTAATTATAAGTGAAGATTCCAAATCCACACCTGCTTTTTTGGGAAAAAATCTCTTTCCTCACTGCTAAGTCACTCTCTCTCTCTTCTTCTAGCCATCACGTTGTATTTCCATTTTCATCGAAATTAACGTGACTGAATTACTCATACAAAAAACAGCGTATAAACTTTAACAAATTTCTTGTCTTTATGTTTTCATGACTGCAGTTGCCATCTTCATGGTCAATGTGCAGTAGATCACCTAACCTAACCTTGCATTAAAGTCAGATATGCTACTGCTTTGTTACCTCACTCATGAACAGATTCTACACATAATTCTGCATATTAAATGGACAAAAAAAATATAGAGAAAGAAATGCTGAAACATCAAAATATAATGCAAACAATTTAGAAGACTTAGCAGTGCTTACAAATATATAAACAAGTTAACACAACATTGCTTACTGTAATGATATGCTGAGGTTGTAGTAGTAGTTACTACAGTCATACATGGTCTGGGCCATAACCAATCAGCACCCACTATTAGCCCTGAAACAGCAGACATTTCCTTCCTCAATATGTTAATAATACATAAATCTACAATTCTGTGATGTATCAATGAATAATTACGATTGGTCCAAAGTTATTACGGATGAAATGAGGAAACAAGAATGCTGAAACTCTTATGTCATGTCAAGTCCAACCTTATCAATGAATTTCTGCCCAAATTTTGCCTTATCCTTGTGTACGATACAGAATACGGGGTCCGCAGTGGCCGCGCGTTCTGAGGCGTGGGCCTTGTGACGCTTGGTCCCTGGGACCGTGGGTTTGAATCCCACTCGAGCCATGGATGTTTGTCCACGTTTTTCTGTGTTGTGCTGTCCTATGTACAGGTAGAGGCCTTGCGACAGGCCGATCCCTCGTCCAAGGAGTCCTATAGAATAGTGGGATAAATGACAGCTCATCATTGGTCCAGATGGTGGACCAGAGTCCCCATATAAATACACTTTGATGTGGCCATGCCGCAGCTCAGGCATTTAGTCACTGGCAACCCACTGTTGAGGCCCAGGTTCAAGAGTCATTATAGAGCATTGGTAGAATGATACTGACAAGGGAAAATCAAACAACCTGAAGAAAAACCCGTCCAAGTGCCACTTTATCTACTACAAATTCCATGCAGACTAGCCTCAGCATGTATCATCTGGGGGCTGGACGGTGGGCCTATGAGTGACCGTAGTTCCTGAGAAACAGTATCACCCCATCGGAACAATAATAATTTCTGGCGTGTAAGTTATAAGTGTCATATGTAACATTCTGTTTTTACATGTTTTGGCTTCACCTTTGTAAAGCCTTATGAGACCCAACTTACAACGTAGTAATGACTTCCTGAAATAAACATTTTTTTTATTAAAATTTAAATCAATTTACATCCAGTATAAGTCACAACAAAATACTCACTGATAAATGAAGCAAAACCGAATATAATCTCCAGAACTTGATTTGTGTTTGTCTCCGATGATGTTTTACATTCCATCTGTAATCTGTCATGTGCAAACGCTTAAACCTACAGATAACAATAAATCAAATACCTCAGAAAACAGATGCAACTCACTTGTTATGTGTCTTACATGACATATATAAAATAAATAGAAAATAGGAAGACCATGTCTTGCCTATACATGCTTCATATCTCATAATAAACATATCCTGTTAAAATTTCGTATTACGGGGTGTACAAAGAAAATCGTCAGGTATTTGATTTTGGTTTCTGTTGATGGAGTTATCCCACGTCACTTCCTCCATGTATATGCTTACCAGTGATTAGAAGGTCCTCAAGTTCAGGAGAGTCCATATAGTCATACCAACTCAAACACCATACGTAAATCAATCACAAATATCTCACTCCCTTGTCCCAACAGCTTTATTACTGAAACAAACACATATGTATTACTTTAATAAAAGAATATATATCATTATTAGCACTGGTGTTAGCAACTAAAACATCAGAAGTGTCCAGGAACACTTTCTGCCAATTATATCTCATAAAAGATGCTCCATATAAATATATATCATTATTAGCACTGGTATTAGCAACTAAAACATCAAAAGTGTCCAGGAACACTTTCTGCCGATTATATCTCATAAAAGATGCTCCATATATGAAAATTGTGAACTGAAATTAATACAGCTGATTTGCTAAGTTAATTGAGATATATAAGGTTTCACTTTTTCATTCAGAATTCAAGTTTCAATAGAAATAAGTTCTCTAAAGAACCTGTAATATATCCAGACAACTCATAGAAAGTTTTTTGCATACACATTATGTAGCCTCACAAGTGAAACAATAAAGGATGACAAAATAAACTGGTTACACACAATACTTACTTAACTGAACAGTAAGAAAAATGTTTCAAGCTCAAGAAATCTTTAACAAGACACACAGGAACCACTTCCATAGATAAGTTGAAATATTCATTTGATAGTGCTTCCACCTAGAAAGATATGATGAACTAGAGGTAATCAATTGAATCCTATTGATTTTGATTAGGCCACAAAAGTAAACCATTACTGATACCATGGAAACCATTTTGTTTGGAAAAGCAGTGAAAACAATGAGCACTTACACAGTTACTTCTGTTACGCACTTACGTGCAGAACATGTTTATAAAGAACAGAACAGATAAAGCACTATTCCACGGCACACACATCTGTCACAACAACAAATAATTTGATCCTTCAGAGCAGTATTTGACAAAATTAATGCAAATGGATGAGATGGTAAGAGTATTAATGACCATGGTTAGTACTATTACATTCTGGGCTTGCTAGATTTGAAGTTTACATATATGCTATTATATTGAACAGCAGAAACATTATTTTTTAACATGAAACCAAGTACAGTTAATAGGATATCAGACATTAAACAACCACTTTTTTATTCTGATCTTAAATGTGTTTACTGGCTTCGAGGTACGTACAAAACAAACCACTTTTATAATTATATAAAGGGTTCAGAAAGCATCAGATCATACATTGTATTCATATTACTATTTAATTTCAATATCCATAACCCTGTAACTGTGAAAAATTACACACAGATACGTGAATCCATACTGGTCTATTGAAACCCCTACTTTACAGTAAACTTAAACCAACATTTTAACTCTTTTCAAATGGCTCACTCAATAGAAAATTGGTTATGACATACCAGTGAAATACAAACCTCATTAAGATATACAATTTTTATTCAAAACATTTCCACAGTGAAATACAAGAAAAATAATCTACAACTCTGTGCAATAAACTGAATGCTCTGAAATGACAAATACCATGTCGAGGATTACAAAACAGAACAGCCTGCAGCTTGCATTTCAAGCGCATCATGAGGCTTCAGCTTCAATACATATTTTTCAAATATCAGGCTTTCCAGTCAGGACTGACTTAATTTTTCTGTGGAAAATATGGGAAAAAATGACACAACATTCTCCAACATGACTGATGAACACAAAAAGAAAACTGAATTTGACAAAACACTGCCATTTTGCATACCTTCTAATTTTCAATAGGAAAATGGATATCAGAATCTCTACAGCACGGCATAAAATGTGTCATAACTTCAATTTAATGAGGGCTCATAATTTATGATGGCGATGAAAAATTAGAAAGTAATGAGAGGAGTGTGATGGAGACGTGAAAAAATGAGCATGCGACATCCATGATCATATACGGTATCTCACTTGTCTCATACACACTACAGATTTGTATAATTCTCAACGTGATCCACTGGCGACATGTAACATGATAATAAAGTTACTAAATCTGTGGAAAAACTTTCTCCAAATTAGGATACGCACTGAATAATTCTTACAACTGAATTATAAACACTCTGCCTAATAATTATCATATGAATTATCATAGTTGTTCTCATAGTTATTATTATCATAAGAGTTGTCATAATTGTCGTATGAACCGTCGCTGCTTCCCGGCTGACCAGGTCTCATGCCACGTGGAGGTGGTGGTCTCATGCCTCTTGGCGGTGGAGGGGGACCACGAGGCGGAAATGGTGGCCGTCCAAATGGAGGTCGGCCTGGTGGGGGTGGTCGCCAACCAGGTGGTGGACCACCTAGAAAATTAAAATAGATGATCAACATAAGACTTATTCATTGAATGTCAAACTGCCTTCAACACTTATTAACTTCTAGACAACTTTTCTCACAATTATATAGTTACAGCCACATTACCATGAAGAACATTTACGTTGGATGACGACTGGAGCAATGAGATGAACATCTGTGTATATCTTACATCATTGTCAACCATTACATACACCAGGTTCTTGATTCGACTCAAAAACAGACCAACAATATCCATGCAGAAGCCTAAAATTTACATGCAGCAAAACTCTTCAAGTAGGAAACACTCACCATGAGGTGGTGGTGGGGGAGGATAGTTGCCTTGATAGGGACCCTGATGATGTGGAGGTGGTGGTGGAAACTGCCCTCCTCCCTGCCATGGAGGTGGCATCATTCTTGGTGGTGGAGGGCCTCCTTGAGGTGGCGGTGGCATTGGAGGCATGTGCCCCATTTGGCCCATCCCTGGTCCCATGCTGTTTTGCTGCTGCTGCGGTGTAGGCGGTTGCTGCTGCGAAAGTTGCTGTTGAGTTGATGTGGGAGGCATGGGAGGCAATGGTGGTGGTCCAGCCCTGTTGAGTGGTGGTGGTGGCATCCCTGGTGGTCCTGGAGGCAGGGGTGGGTGACCTGGATGGTGCATGGGTTGTGGAGGTAATGGAGGCGGAGGAATGCCCGGTGGCATCGTCATTGGAGGAGGTGGCATACTGGATGGTGGTGGAACTGGCGGAGGTGGAGGAGGGTGCATACCAGGAGTTGGTGGTGGTGGAGGAACCATACCAAGCATGGCCACAGGTGGTGGAGGGGGGACTAATGTTGGAGGCTGTGGTAATGGTGCAGGGGGAGGGGCATCGGCAAACAGCTGATGGGGACGATCAGCTTGAGACAGGGGATTCTGTGCAGCTAGAAGTCTCTCAGCAGCAGAACCATGGCGTTCGCCTCTGGCATCCTTTTTGAACGCATATGATACAGAGATGGGACGGTTACACAGATACTGTCCGTTCATCGCTTCAATGGAGGCATCAGAAGCATCAAAGCTTGCAAAGTTGATGAATGCAAACCCTTTTGAGTTCCCTGTCTCAGGATCACGCATGATCTGCAATATGGGGACAGAGAATACATTGCAGCAGAGCTATAAAAACATAAGTGTTTTTGACTGGTACATATGAAAGGAAGATCAATAAAAATTCCTCAAACTGGGCACAAAAATAAAGAATACTCATCATATCAAACCACTTACAAGATCAATAAAAATTCCTCTAACTGGGCACAAAAGTTAAGAATACTCATCATATCAAACCACTTACCTTAGGTGTCTGAAGAATAACACCAAATGCAGAAAATGTGTCATAAAGAAGTTTCTCATCCACCTCTGGATCCAGGTTCCCAATAAAAATGTTAGCACCAACGTCCAGATTCTTCTGGTGAGCTGATGCCTAAAATAGATGCACCAGTGTGTTAATTTAAAGAAGTGACCAAGAAGGGGGTGATGGAGTTAACAGATGCTCATACCAACATGTGACTGTAATCTGAGGGTACACTAGCAGTTCAACATCACAAGTTACAATATCAGAGGCTGTGTTACAAATTTTGTTCATCTGTGTTGTAACTCACTGTGCTACCTCCTCACCATATAAATTGTATTAGCAGCCATGGTCTCACAGAGACAGTCTCGCCATATTGCAGCAATAAAAAATAGTGCCATAGTATCAAAGTCAAGGCTCATAAGCATGTGTTTTGTTGTAAACGAGGACCTTTAAAGTGTGTTAAAAGCATAATCCTTGGACTAATTACACTGCTATAAGTAATTACTGTAATAATCCACCTGCACTGCCAGAGGGAACAACAGATCATTATAAGCTGATGAAGCACCTGTTGCATTATACTGTGATCAAACAAGGTTGGATACCCACAGAACTTGAAGGCTGCAACTGAAGTTTGCCTTAACCTGTGTTTTCCTCTAATGTGAGGAACCAAGTTTCATGCCCATACAAAGAAACAGGTAAAGTCATAGTTTTCTATTTTTAATCTTTACATTTTTTATAGCATTTGGTAAAACTGAAAGATTCTGAACAACTGCATTGTAACAAGCATTTCCTGAACTGACTTCCTTCATGACTGCAACTATCCTTTGTCCAAACCACAGACATATTCATAAAAGGTACGTTAGCAAAATGTATACAAATAGGGAACCACGTAACACTGAACAAAGTTTATCTCAATCAATTGCTCTGGTTATCTTTCTCACATTCAAAATATGAGTTCAATTTTAAATTAAATATAGGAAATAAAATAAAATGTACAAAAATCAAAGCACATACCTTGTTAACGCGTATCGGTTTCCCATACAATTTTATCATGTTCATTATCTTAATCGAATAATCTGCATCTTCTTCCCCCATGAACTCTACAAAGCCATAGCCTTGATGCATCTGTGTTACACGATCTTTAGGCATGTGGACATTTACTGGTAAGAACAAAGAACACATTCCATTATTCTATACATATATCAAATAATAATTGCAACATATAATCTGACAATTTACAATTAAATGGTACTTTTTAACCACTAAACCATGCATGCATGTTTTTAATCCTATGCAGCTCACTTTCAACTCCAAAAACTGCAAAGCCCTATCAGACACACCCAATATCGGAGTTCAGTGATGATCAGAGTAGCAATGTAATTAAGTATAGTGTTAAAGTGATTTCATACTGCAAAACATTCACCATGGAGAAACAATACTTACCAACTGGACCCGACTGAACAAATAGTTCCCACATCAAAGCTTCTGTAACTTTTTCATCCAAACCACCCACATAAATTGTGGCATCTGAAAGGCAACAAGAATGTTATACTACTTTGTCCAATTATAAATTTTAAATTACTTGATAATGGACTGAAATTTTGCTCAGATCATAAAGTAAAATGGCATTGCAGACTAACAATCTTCTCGGTATATCACACAATATGAAAAATACTATAAATTTTAGGGGATCTATGTGCCAGTGAAAGACACATGCACCTTCTTTACAGAACACTGCTTTCCAAAATCACATTTTAGTTCCAGACACACAGGACCTCTCCACCCACAGCTTAAATGTACTTCAAACATGCATTGTTGAGTGTGACTATTAAGAAATAATTAATTAATTTACCATGTTTTCCTTACATCCGAATTACATTTGAAAAGCAAAGAAAGGCATTCTAACTGTGTCTGACCATTAACATCCATTTCACAACTCACTAATCATCAATATTAATGATGGTGGTAGTACTGGTGCTAATTTTTTAATCAGTTCAGACCATTCCAATCACATATGTAAAGCAACACCCACTTCACTCTTTTCAAGATATTTATCAAGACTGAACAGCTCAACTTCATTAACTTATAGGCACTTTTACGGTTCTCACAGCAGTGATGCCATGTAGTTTCACTAGTAGCTAAAAATATTGTGGGGAAATGTACTGTTTCCTTCTTCAGGATTGAAGTGAGCCAGATCCTTTTGAGGGGATATTGTTAGAGGTGGCAGATTATACCATAAGACAACTTGTCCCTTGTTTCAAGGATAAAGATGTGAGGCTGGCATTTATATAGTAGGATGGTCAATGGAAACATGGAAATAATGGGGAAAGGGAGAGAAAACCGGCTAAGAGGCCCCAATAAAGACTGCTTCTAAAGAGGGTCCTATAATGAACAACACAACACTCACATCTGCACCAGGTATTGTATTATGGCATGTTCCACATTCTATTAAGGATCTATGGAATGTAACTAAATTCCATTTACTCCATTAAATAAAAATGTTTGACGATATTCTCATTTCTTCAAGGCAAACGCTGGGGAGAACCGAAAAACTGGCAGCTTCCTTCTCTATCCCGATACTTATAATCATCATATGATATTTGACGCTTCTTAATTTCTGCAGTTAACATCATCAAATGTTATAAGCTACAAATCGAATTTCCGCCACTATTGCAGGTTAGAAGTTAGTGACAAACATGATCAGTTTAGTTTCATGTCATCCACTAGTAATTATGGGGAACTATAGTTACAAAAGCTCCAAACACTTTTTCTAACGTCTCACAACCCTTCACAATCTGTGCAGAATATAATGTATCATTTTTACCTTGATTCCTTTCAGCAATCGGGCCGGCCGCCATTTTCACCAAATATACTATTACAACCGTTTTTATATCGATTACATAGGAACATTACGAGTCGATTAACATGACGGGCAATACATTCTACATATTCATTATTTTGAAAAAGGTAAAAAATTCACTAGCGAGTTGTTATAGTTCTAGCAACGATGAAAGAATATCTAGAAAAATGATCATAACAACACAGAATTACAACAAAATAATTTTCTGAGATACCCAAGTAAGTATTTATTATGTTGGCTACCCTGAACGATGTATAACGGCAATCGATAATACCAGTCGGACGAAGCAAATTAATTACGTATATCGAGATCTCCAATCTACAATTACATTTGAATTCATCATTTTAATTACATGGTAGAGAACACGTACAAAAAGGGCATTTCCAGTCCAGGTGTCTAGTCTTCAGGCTATCCCACACTCTCTCCTTTTTTATTTCTTTTCAGATCCAAGGTACCAGGCTGCAAGATCTTGTTCTGAGTCAACCTACAAATTCTTTCCTTTAAATTTTACTTCTGAAGGGCACCCTCGTCTTATCCACTCCCTTGACATAGCCAAACCATTGTAGTCATCTCTTTCCCAATTATAAATTCAAACATCTGGTATAAAGATTTAATTGATAGTTCTATCCCATATTTTTTGCACTTGTTTAATCTATGACCAAAGGAAGTGAACCACACATAAAGCCCTGACGATTTAAATGTTTTAATTTATTCCAATCAGAATAAATATTATCTTGAATATTTTATTGAAACCCTCGATATTTTGCTTGTATGATAGGTGCTGACATTTCCAAATGCACCAGAAGTTAGTTTTGTCAAAAACCTTATCAAACCATAGCAATTTCCTAACATATAACTTTGTTGATGAATGACTATGAAACTTTACAAGTGAATTTGTTTACAGCTAAGTGATCTTTTATAAAATCAAATTGCGTATTAACTGAAATGCCACTGGACTTACTTTCTCCACTTTAAATAAGTTTTGCATTGCATTTATAAAACAAAACTTCACTCTGAAAATGGAATTACACCACAAATATAATTTTTCATGCGAAGATCTGAAAAAATGTTGTGACACTTTATTGATATCCATGCATTCAGGAATGTAATGTCACACAAGTGAAATATTATGAAATGATGAATGTAACACAATGTAACAAGAAGCTAGAAACCCAAAATAATGGATACCATTGAATGAAAGGATTTTATATGCAAGATTGACATCAGGTATAAAGTTTCAAATGTTTACTGTATATCAAAAAAAGTCATGAAAATAAATAACTTATTTGTAGGCCCCTTCTTTCTCACAAACAGTATATGATATTTTAAATGAATGGTCATCAGTATAACACAAGAATCTAGTGACTGTGTTATCTATTGATGAAGAAAAGAACTGAAGAAAGATTCTGCAGTCCTAAAATACCCCATCATGAAAAATGCTGGAGGCTGGTTTGGCCCTGAAGCAAGTCTGGACGTGAAGAACAGAAAAATGTCTAACCAAACTTGATTGTGCAGCTAATAACCTTGTCACCACACTGACTAACCTGTCCTGGCTCCTCACTATAACAGACACAATTCTTAAAAAAGACACAGTCACATTTGTTCCATAAAATGAACATAAAACAAAACTCAATTGACATGTCATTTAGGAAGTATGTAATTGACTCACGTGTACTTCATCGCCACCATCATCAACATCAAACAGTCAAGGAGTTAGGTCATATTGACCTGTTCTGGCCTCGGAGTCTAGAAGTCTCTTTTGCAGGCTTCCAGAGGTTCTTCGTCCACATTGTATCTACTTTTTTAATAATTTGGGAAATCTGTCTCTCTGCATTTTGTTAACATGTACTTAGGAATCCTAAACAAGATACAATGATAGCAAGAAATTGCAGGGAACTGCTCTTAATTTACAAGTTCCTTACCGTTTGTAAGAAGTGAGGTATGACATTTGCACCTTGGCCTCATTTCTACCAATTTCTGGAATAAAAATATCTGACATGTTTAATGCCAAAGTTGTTTTTATTTCTATTTCAGGGCAGTAGTATTACTAACAATAAATCCTTAATGAAAAAGAATCAGAAAAAATTACACTTTCATATTTGACTTATAAATTAAAATAGACCAAATTCAAATTATGCAGACCTAAAAAGAAAATGCATCGCTATTGTTCACAATAAAGTAACATTGTAAAAAGTTATGATATTATTTTCTTATATTATGTGCAAATTATTGGGAGACTTTTTGTTTGCTGTAACAAAGCTCACTGTAAAGTGAATCAAATGCACAACACAGCACTAAGTAATTTAAAATAGATGTAATGATGAGCAACTCGATACAGGAATTTAAATCCAGTGTTTACAATTTGTTGATTAAACTCTTCACAAGTCAAAATGTGTAACAGCATACAATATTATTCCATGCCAAGACAGTACACACACTACAACACGTAGGTCTTTCTTACAGTAACTAAATTGTACTTCATTAGGACTCATTTAAGATTATGCCACTATCTGAAACTCTGCAAAGTCAGATAATTCATACCATCTGCTGATCAGCACAACATAATAACAAAAGTAATGCCACTGTTCTGCATAAAGAAAGATTTGCCATTTGTCTACATGACCATTTCTGCAAATGATTTAACATATGCTTCATGAAGTTTGTTAACAAATTCAGGATCATTTTTCACCAGATAATTGAATGCTTGAAGAAGCTGGTTTCTGGTTAATGGTTCAGGTCTCACTGATGTTACACTATCATCCAGCAAAACTGCACCACTTGGACAAGTGGCCAGGGTAGACACAGAAAGTTCTGGTTTTGGATTTACTGTTGCCACACTTGGACTATGCATCAGAACTGTAGTGGTACCGGCATCTATGTTGTTTGGTACATCTTTCGCAGCTGACGAAGTGAACATAGTAGGGGGCATTAACGCTGGTTTCTGTGGTGTTTCCATTCCACTGCACAACGGTGCTGATAATGGCCGCTGATCAGGTGTTGCAACATCCACCACCATTCCACTTGATGGAACTGTCTGTTCTCCAGTCCCAAAAAATGGTGCAAGTTGTGGGCACGTTGTCGAAGGAGATGGGATGCGGAGGAAACTAATTCCATTCTCCACCAACTCTGCTGATGTACTAGGTACACTGGCATGTTGTGCTTTCACAACATCTGTCATACTGCCAGAGGACACTGGTCTTGCTCTAAAGTTTCCACTGCTGTTTTGTTCGCTACCATCTTCACAAGATTGGATTTTCCCTTTATCTCTCTTAGCTGATGTAGCTTCTGTTTGTGGAGTAACAGATCTCTGTTGTTTTTCAATGTGTTCCACAGTGTGTGCTGGGTTTGACATTAGGCGCTGCAGTAGAGGTTTCAACTGACCATCACTTCTATCACTTGGAAGCTCTACACCCAAAGTTCTTGACTGGTGATGACCAACAAATATACCTACTGGCTGTGATACCTTATCAGATGAAAAATGAGAAGCACCACTGCTAGCTTTTGCAAAAAAATCCATGACACCCTGTGGCATCTCTGGTTTCGATTCTTCTGTTGGAGCATGCCTGCTAATTGCTTGGTTCTTGTTTGATTTGTAATCCTCCTGAGCTCTACTGAGCATCGTAAATATGTCAACATTAGCATCACCACTACTACACTTGTTCAGAGCAGATTTATCTGTAATTTTCTTACTCATTTCAGACTCTTTAACGAGTTTATCAAGCACTGACGCAATACGAATGCACTCGTCTTTATCGTAAAACCAAACACCAAAAATACGGCAACTTGTATTCCGGTACAAAAGAAATGGCTCTTGTAATTGTAGATCTAGTCCTTGAATAACGGGTTCAACTAGATTGTTTGTATTAAGCCTGTTCATAATAAGAATACTGTGATATGGCTCCCCATTTCTGCTATAAACAAACAAGGCACCTTCCACATCGGTTTTCTCCCATTCGTTATCATCTGTACTAAATGTATATAATGCAACATGAGTTGCGGTTTCAATAATGTCTTTTACATATGGATCAACCCTCTTTAACGCTGCTACATTCATTCGCAATTCCGTTAGGTCGGCCATTTTCGTGTACTACAGCGACGAAAGAGACTGAAATACATTGATAATGCTTTTGAATAACCGCACGTACCATGTCACTGAATGAGACGGAAGTTCCTGCATGTACAATCATTTTCTCATACTACAAACGATAACCCGACTATAAGATGTTAAAAATAATCAGACTTGAAATTATCGTTTTTGTACAACCTTGACGTCCATCACAAATTCCCAATAAAAATAAAAGTACACCTTAAGAGCCTTCACAAAGCATATTCTAAAAGTATGTTCCACGGTATTACACTGAACACGTAGAACGTGCATACACAACAGTAAAACTAGGCCTTCTCGATCGCTTCGATGTGTTGTTAATCCTATTCTATTTTCACGCCGGCGTAATTCCGACCACGAAGAGTTCGGTCAGTCTTACGACTACAAAAGTATCACGTAACACTCATTACCACCACCACTCACAATACTCATAACGCGAAATATCGTCGGCGTATTTAGTTCATCCACATTTAACTCATCTGTGGTATAGTGAAGGATTACCAACATAGGTATAATTACATACCGCTTTCGATTTTAATGCTCACGAGCAGTTGAGTCGTAAACTGCCATCTATATTAGCACGTACCTTTAATAGTGTGGTATTATCTATGAATCTGCTACGGATGATATTCATAAATACGGAGAAACTATTTTATAACCATTCATTTCAAACTTTGCTTTATAATATTGTCAAGAAGAGATGGGAAATAAATTGGGGCATATACGCTTCCGGTCTATACTGTAAAGTCTGGAATGAATTTCAAGACGATCTGATTGGCTGTCTATGCTGATAATTTGTTAGATCGGAATGATGTTAAATCAGAATTAAATTCACAAGGAAATTATATGCAGACTAAATTTGGGGAATGCTTGGTACCATGCAGTTCAGAATCTTCTGCCTTCTTTTGCACTATTTGATAAGATAAAATATGAACTATAATTTTAACACCCCTTTTTTTCTTTCAGAACAGGGTGCTTAGAATGTTTGTACCTAGAATAAAGTAATGGGAGGTTGGAGAAAACTGTATGAGCTTTGCTTTTTCAATACCATGTCACCATATATGATGAGGTATAGTTACCTTATACAATAAGACCAGTCTTGCTAATAATGAATTATTACGTCTGTCACACACAAAGTATTCTTTAATGCTTCACATTATAGCAGCACCACAAAAAATACTTTCATGCTTCACATTATAGCAGCACAAAATATTGTTTAGATTCTCAGCATAAAGAGACCCCACATATATGATACATTTCCCAATAGCCTGGTAGAAATAACATATAATAGCAATGCTAAAATATGCAATAAGAGAACAGTAATGCATTTTATGACTAGACACTGCAATACTGCTATACACACTACAAGACCGCTACAATGAATATGAAGTTCAATTTACAAATTATACTAGAGTCCTTCAGATAAAATAACTGAATTAATAAGCTTCAAAAAAGGAAATTAGTATTCATAATAATATACTATGAAATGAGGAAACTTTGCATTTTACTAGAATAATAATTGTCTTGTAACACATTCCTGCAAAATTATATTTTCTTTGCAACACTATTCTGCTTTTGCTTTATAAGATTCTTTTCTTTTGACAAAAAAAGTTCAATACTTAAAAAAATGGCTGAGTTTAATCAAAGCATAACTTTTTTGCCCCCAAAGTACTCAGTTATAAATAAACAATTCTACAAATATGTTTATAGATAAATCTATAATTAAGTTTTATACATTTAGTGTGATTATCAGTCTAACCTTTTTGTTCTTTACCTGATCACCATTTGCCATTTATCAATTGCAATTACAATTTAATATCAAGAGTATTTAACCTTAGGTTTAAAATCAAAGGTAGTTAGAGATGCAATGCGCATAATGCAATAACATTTGTGTGACAGTGAATCTATTTGCTTCTGGTCCTGAGGCATAATTACACAATGTAAAGATCTGAAAATGGAAGTCACTCATATTTAACTGAGATTTGAACCCTGTGCCTCTCCAATTTAAAGCAACACTGCTAACCACTCAACCACGTTAGCAGAAACAAATTTTATAACAAATACAGACGGCTGTTTTCTGTGTTGCTATGCTCCGTAGTCTGGCAGAAGTTTACCAAGGTTTCAGAGATGCTTGCTGCCTCCATCATCAGAGTCCTGATGAACTTCTTCCACACTAAACAGCCCAACAACCCAGAAGACATCCATCAACATACTCACTGCCATGGGAACCTGAAATCTCACTTATGACAAATATGTTTATAAATTTTGTCTCCAGTATCCAGAATATCCTTTATCCAACAAACTGTACCTTGTACAAAAGGTGGCACTTAACTGAAGCCTTTATTGATATGGAGTAGAATCGACTAAAGCACTTGACGATACTAGAAACTCCCAAAGAAAAGTAAACATGACTCAAACTGAGTCCAGAAAGTCACTTTATCACACTTAATTCAGTGATTTTGTAAACAATATTTTGATGACTTTTGAAGAATTAACTGAAGCGAAAAGACAAAAGAGTTATGCATATTTTCAGAAGAATAATTCATCAGAATACAACACAGAAAATTCAGTACAGACTCTATGGACTGTTTTAAATAAATGAATAATTAGTAGTGGGTTACAGTTTCATGTTTCCAAATCTAAATATCTGTGGGCAAACTTGAAACAGAATGCGCACAAAATGATTATTCATGTACTTTGCAAGTGTTACAGATCAGAATCAATGTTATTGTATAAATCATGGACGGTAAACTTCAATGTGTGACACAAACTTTATTAGATTGATGTGAAATCTTCTCGCATATTGGAGAACACAACCTTCAGGAACTATGTGATATCAGGTAAGTTATGTGATTTTGCTGCAACATTTCGAGTGCAGATGAAACCACCAATTATGCTGTGGTAGTGTATCATCTGAGAAAATTAACCCACAAACAGGTGGCAACATGGCTGCATAAAAAGAAATGAACC